CCCCAGTTACTTGGCAGGCTGAGGCAAGAGAATCACCTAAGCCCAAGAGCTGGAGGTTGCTGTGAGCTGTGATGCCACAGCACTCTACCAAGGGCGATAAAATGAGGCTCTGTCTCTAAAAAAAAACCAAAAAAACCCCCAAAAAAACCTGAGATGTAATTTAACACATGTAAGTAAAACTATGGGGTATTTTAAGGATTGAATGTTAAGAATTAATAATCTGGAAGCCACCACAGCTGAGTGGTTAGGGCACCAGCCACATGCTCCAGGGCTGGTAGGTTTGATCCTGGCCTGGGCCTGCTAAGCAAAAAACAAATAGCTGGGGCAGTGCCTGTAGCTTAGTGGGTAGAGCACCAGCTACATACACTGAGGCTGGCAGGTTCAAACCTGGCCTGGAACAGCTAAAACAACGACAACTGCAACAAAAAAAAGTAGCTGGGCATTGTGGCAGGTGACTATAGTCCCAGCTACTTGGGAGGCTGAGACAAGAGAATCAGTTAAGCTCAAGAGTTTGAGGTTGCTGTGAGCTGTGACACCCCAGCACTCTACCGAGGGTGAAATAGTGAGACTCTGTCTCAAAAAACAAAACAAAACAAAAAAAATAGCCAGGTGGTGTGGTGGGTGTCTGTAGTCCCAGCTACTAGGGAGGCTGAGGTAAGAGAATCGCTTGAGCCCAGAAGTTTGAGGTCACTGTGAGCTATGACACTACAGCATTCTACTGAGGGTTACAAAGGGGAAAAAAAAAAAGAATTAATAATCTTATAAGGCTCAAAAAATGTTAAAAATCACCAGTGATAAGAAAAGAATTCATTAACATCTCTCCTGTCCCTGGCCTTGAACCAGCACCACTAATCATGTTGCTTCGTTAAACTAAAACACTTCTTCCCTACCAGTCCTAAATATATTTTAGATTAGTTGGACAATAGATGTCTTAGCTACTTTATGACTCAATAAAGATACAAATAAGTGAACTTCTTCATTCTAATTTGAAGTTATAATTATGCTATTTTCAACAGGCAGGGAACTAATTTTAGGCACCTATTTGTCTATGTCTTTTTTTTAGATGGGTCTGACTGTGTTAGTCAAGCTATAGTGCAGTGGCTCATCACAGGCACCAGCATAGCACACTATAGCCTCTTAACTCTTGAGCTCAAGTGATCACCTTCCTGCCTCAGTCTCCCAGAAAGCTAGGACTATAGGCACCCATCACTGTGGCCAGCTTCTTCCTTAATAGTATTTTTAAACCACTGTTTCATAACATCTTGCTTTTTTTCATGTGTATAATTGAAAACTACTGGAGTGATCCAGCAGGTCACTCTAATCACTGTATCAAAGATGAGAAGCATCTCAAGAAAAAACCTGATCCCCTAACTAAGTCAAAATTGTAGTACTGTTAAATAACAATGATTAAAGCTTTGGAGAATCAATTCCATTGCTTCACAATGGACAAAGATAGTGATGAATGTGAAGCTTTAGAGAAGTGAATATGTTTAGAAGCACAGACTTAGATAAACAAGTTTATGTATCTTTATGGAAATGCCTACCTTTCAGAAACAGAATCATCACAATCCAGCAACAAATTAATTGTTTCACTTTATTTGAAGGTGGTTCATAGTTCACAGAAGTCATTCTTTCTACTGGACTATTAAATGACTCTGAATTCTTATTCAAATTCATGGTTTCTGAATTTGCGACCTGTTAAATGGGTAATAAAAAAGTAGTTTGAAGGTGTGGTTACCAATTGTGTCCTTCCACAAAAAATTGAAGATAGGTAAAATTTACTTTGGAAAACATTATGTATGTGGTGAAATATATATTAAATTATATGTACTCATTGGCTGACCACCATGATTGTGATTTGCCTGCCAAATTGAATTTTTAAAAACTTAAAAATAATGATGGGCAATCCTGTTGTAGTTCATAAGCATGACTGGATTTTCATATTTATGTGTGAGATGCGCCTTGCTCAACCATTTTGATTCCTGATGTGAAGAAAAATAATAGCACAAATCAACTTCCCAGCTTGGATGGAAAGAAAACAAATATCTTGGTACTTAGGTAACATTTTATTCCTATTAGATTTAGTTTTAGAAACAATAAACACCACAAAGTTTAACAACCAAACCTTTTACTGTTGTTATTCTAATAAACACCAGAAATAAATCAGACTGATAATCTGCTCTTCCAGTTGACAAGTTTATTTAAAACTTAAAGCTGAAATATTTAACCCACACTTCTCTTCAATTGGGAATTTGCAGCCTCTAATATATATATATATATATGTATACACACACACACACACACACATTAATTCAAAAGGATCAATTGATTGCCCAACTCATGGACTTTTCTAAGGGACAGTGTGAGCAAAAGTGTAGATACACAAAGGCAGAATTCTGAAACACTATCTTAAACAGATTTTATATGTAGAAATAGGTGTAAATAACACTGGAAGTCAATATCAAAAGTTATCTGGTATCCTTTCAGTTCAAGGACAAGGTGGTATAGACACACTTTTCCCTGATCCTCCCTTCTAACTACACTATTAAGAAAAAAATAATCATTATTACTGAAAGGGTAACACTGCTAGTAAGCCACCTAACACAGAAACATCCCTGCACATAACGGCATGCTGGCCCCAGTGTGTGCTTCTTGCCTGACCAAGAAGCAAACTTGGTAACTTATTTTTTAAGAGCTTGTTTTGCAGAACTGCAAAAATAAGGAACAAACAGAAAAGGTCGTGGAGCCTCCAAACCCCATTCCACAAAGTCAGATAAGACCACTGCTCTGGAAAACAGCCACCTTCTGTTAGCATTTTGAATTACTACTACTCAGGAAAGCAAACTGCCTTCTGGCTCAGCACCTGTAGAACAGTAGTTAGTGCTGGCCACATACACTGAGGCGGGTGGGTTTGAACCTGGCCCGGGCCAGCTAAATGATGACAACTATAACCAAAAAATAGCCGGGCATTGTGGCAGGTGCCTGTAGTCCAGCTACTTGGGAGGATGAGGCAAGAGAATTGCTTAAGACCAAGAGTTTGAGGTTGCTATGAGCTCTGTGACAACATGGCACTCTACCCAGGGCAACAGCTTGAGACTCCGTCTCAAAAATAAATAAATAAATAAAATAAAATAAAATAAAATTCCAAAAAAAGCCCAAGCTATTTGTCCTCAGGGCTAACTTTACTGCTTTCTTTCACACTAAGCCCTTTCTTCCCTTGGAAAGTAAAATAAACTTTTTACTTCAAAAATTATCTTCGGCT